GTCCGGTCTGGGGTGGGAGCCAGTGCTGTCTGGGCCCCCGGTGTGGACGCGAGAGGCACCTCTTCAAAGTTGGGATTCACCTGAGAACATTCACATCCGAATGGAGCCGTCTATGTTTTCAGTAATTAATGGCCATCTGGTCCTTTTCGGAAAATGGGTTCAGGTTGACTTTTAGAACTAGGACACACTTGTTTGATTATTGACTAAGCGAATGTCACAGATAAGCTTCGTATGGCAGGAAAGGCACGTATGTGCACAGGCTCTCTAGTTCTAACCTACACGTATATCAGCAGCATCTCCCAGGCACAGATTTAAAAACCTCTATGAGGGCACCTGGATTTACCTGGATTTTTATTTATTTCTTTTAAAAATATTTTTATTGTTTGTTTTTTTTTTGAGAGAGAGAGAGGATGGGAGAGGGAGAGAGAGACAGAAACATTAATTTGAGAGAGAAACATCATCGATCGGCTGCCTCCCGCACCCCCCCACCCCACCCCACCGGGGACGGAGCCCGCAAACTGGGCATGTGCCCTGTTGGGAATCAAACCAGCGGCCTTTTGGTGCCCAGACAACGCTCAGCCACCCGAGCCACACTGGCCAGGGCACACCTGTATTTTTTAAAGGAGACTTACGGCCAATCCAGGCCTTCGGCAGTCTTTTCAGTTTACCCAAACTCCCATAGCCTGTGTCGTCAAAATGGTGATGACGATGATGAAATGATGATAATTATCATAGAAAACACACACTTCGCTCTCAGGGCGCCAGGCTCTGTGCCGAGCTCCTTGCGTGTTCATCTCACTGACTTACATCTCGCAGTGCTTACCTGGGAGGCTCGTACCTGGGAGGCACGTACATAGCCACACGCTCACGGATGAGCATGGACTGAGCTTAGGCACCTGACTGCGGCCGCACAGCGAGCAGAGTGAAGCTGGGGTTAAACCCAGGCACGACGGCCCCCGGTCCTGCTCTGAGCCACTTCTCCTGCGACGCGCCCCAGTGTCACGGAACAGCCAGGGCCGCGCAAGCAAACACCACGGCCCTCCCGTGAGCTGCCCTGCCAGCACTGACCTGGCAGAGGCAGTTTTGAAAGTATGCAGGGAATTACCAAAATTTCTGTTGTTAGCCATCAAAGGTGTAAGGAGAGAGACTTGCCCGGCCCCCGCCTGCACTCGCACTCGGTTCCTCCTCGAGATGGGCGAGCAGTGAGCCCGCACCGGCCTAACTAGCACACGCGGCCCTGTAGGAGCCACAGACTCGCACGGGGCGAAAATGCGGAGTCACAGGAAACCCTCAGCCCCTAGAAACGCAAGAACAAGTCGTCGCTTCATAGCTTGAGGGCTAAAGTCCTAACAGGCACCCAGCTGAACGTACTTCAGGCCCCAGCGGAAGGTTCCCTAACCTCCCGGTGCCTGGCAAACCATTTTAAGGATTCACATTTCTGAACCCCACCCCAGACTGACTGAATCCACATCTCCAGGCTGTGAGCACAAGAATCCGTTGGGTTTTTAAAAAAAAAAACACAAAACGGCCCGAGCCAGTTTGGCTCCGTGGTTAGAGCGCTGGCCTGAAGACTGAAGGGCCTCGGGTTCGATTACAGTCAAGGGCACCTGCCGCGGTTTCGGGCTCGATCCCCGGCGACCAGTCGTGTCTCTCTCCCATCGATGTTTCTCTCTCTCTCCCGGCCCCTTCTACTCTCTCTGAAAAGCACTGGGAACTC